AGTGGAGAGACTTTGCAAACACCACCTCGCCCCAGTGATCAAAGTTAATTTTGCCAAGACTGGGCAAACCTCAGTGGATGCGCTGAGACAGACACCACAGCCCTTCTCCGGTGCTCCTGCAAACCCCACAACCTGGAACTGGTCAGACAGAGCACGAGACAAACCTCCCACAGAACACCGTCTTTGGCTCCTTATAGAGGTCAAGGGCAAGAAGCACAGAGCAGAAGCAAGGAGACGGACAGTACAGTGCAGATCCCAGGCAGGGCCCTGGACGGGCAGGGGGTACGAAGGACAGGGTTGGATGGCTGATAAAATCTGAACACTGCTGTGGGTTAGATGACAGTACTGTATCGACGTTAAACGTCTTGATTTTGGTAATGCACAACTGTGTTTGCATGAGAATATCTCTAGTCCACTTCCAAATGGTTTGGGGAAAAAAATAAGTTTTTTTGTGTGTAAAAGGACAAAAAGAGAGGAGAAAGGGTAAAGCAAACTTGGTGGAACATAAACAAGTAGTGAATCTGACAAGGGGTGTGTGGGAGTTCCCTGTACTATTCTTGTAACTTCTCTTAAAATGAAATTATGTGAAAATAAAACAATCCCCCACTCCTTGCCCCACAAAAGAGAACAGGTATGTACATATCACCTCTCTATAAAAAAAAAAACAAAAAACTGGGGAATAACTTCTGAGAGGGTAGGAAAGGAAGCAGCTTACAAATGTAGTCCAATCCGCAAAAGCAAGATCACACAAATGAATTGGGACCTCTGCACACAACATTTTGACAGCCTTTTAAAAATAAAATAAAAGAGTATCATTACCAGACAGCTGGCTTTCCTGCTGGGACATTCCGTGCTTCTCTGACTTTCTGTGTGGCCAATAAAATAAAGGATTCTGTACTTAATTTGCTGCCAAATTCTTCAAATTTTCATTATCTTGATACATTAAGGCAGCTGAATTCACTGTCTGCTTTCATTTTCTTAAAGAACACTATAAATAGCTGCTCCCCAAAACCCACATTTTCTTCCTTAAACTAAAAGGAAAAGATGGTAGCATTTACTGAGGGTACTCTCAGGTAGGCAGGCACTGTGTTACTACTTCACGAGTCACAGCACAATCCTCACCACCGCTCCTCCTGCGAGGAGAGCCAATCCTATTTCACTGATGAGGAAACTGGGATTCATTCAGCCTTCGTAACCATGGTTACACAGATGGGAAATGGAAGCCAAGATGCAAATGCTTCAAAGACTCTGCCATGTCCCCTAAACTGCAAGATGGAGGCCGAGGGCAGAGAATGTCCCATGGCATATGCTTGTTCTAGTTCCTATTTCTTGTGTTTAATCACAGAGAATGGCTTTAGATGGCTATAGTAAGTTTACACTAAGTAAACTTTTTATCTTTTTTATATTTGCTGTTACTACTTGAAAACAGTTTTTATTTTTTTGGATGTTTTGGTAATGAACAAAATTATGATTTAGCAAGGTTGATCGTATGATTTCTTAAAATTAAATACTTAAAAATAGCTTTCTGAGAAATCAACAAATGGAGAATGTTTCTATGTTCTAAGTAATAAAAAGATATCCACTCTACCAGATACAATTCTTTAAGTAGACTACTTACATAAATAATATTCAAAGAGGCACATGAAATTTAAGAAGCAATATTTGCTGATATCTAACACTATTTATAAGCAGCATTAATTTGTTCCTTTTGTAATCTCACCTACCAAATCCAGACAATAAAATATGAATGAGGAAATAATAGAAATTCACGTATGTAGGGATTGATTAACCTCATAGCGAAAGGTCTCTTTCAATTTCAGATTCCCCTAATGTTTTCCCCTCAAAGTTTTAAATACAAAATTTGATTTCATTTGATTCACACAGAAATATTCAAGGATATATTCACAGCATGTGGCAAGTTAGGGCTATACTTAACCAGGACATTCATTCACCTTCTTAGGCCAGCGGCTATGTGGTGACTCTAAGGTCACGCATGACACTGCTCCTCCCAGGTTCTTGAACAGGGATGATGGAAACCCAGCCATTCGCCAGGTCAGTATCCACAGCTGAGGCTACTCACCTACCACAGTGTTTTCTCATACATCTAAATTCCTTCCCTACTTACGATACCAGTCAGTCACCACTGATCCATCCGGGTTTGGAAAACATACACAACCTAATCATCATCCTTATTCTAGAAGCCCTCATTAAAAATTTTCTGAATCAATCTTGACTGCTATGTACTTACAGAAAACAGTAAAATATTATTCCTAATCAAGAAATAAATAACACTTTGGGGAAAGAGCGGCAGATAAAATAGCTAACTATAACAAATAAGCTATTTTCATGGAAAATTCCTTTGTTTTTTCTATTTATTTTAAAATTAGCATGATTCTGGAATTAAGTTTGATATAAAAACATTTTTTCAGTAACTGTTGCTAGTTGGTATATCCCAAAAGCCTGTGTTTACAGCTTTCCTCCTTTCTTCCTCAATTTATAATACAAATTGTACACAACAGGTAGCACTGTTATAAGGTGCAACAGTTACATAGAATTCACTGTCATTAAAGCAGGAAATGAGAATTGCTTAACTATCACTAAGTAAGACGACATGGTAGAGTAAGGAAAACCGTACTCTACGGGTCACTTCTTTACAGGAGCATCTATCTGCAGTAACTTTTTAATTTTAGAGTATGAGTTTATGCGGACTATAGTGGAAAACTGCAATTCCTGTACCTTACTGAAAATGATCTGAAATGAGCACTCATCGAAAGGAGAAGAAAGAATTGAGGCACACTCCACTTTGAAAGCATGCATATGATCATACGTGACTTTAATTTAGAACTCTATTATTCCTTTTTTTTTTTTCTTTTCTTTAAACCAGGGGAAACTGTCTTGAAAACAGAAGACAGGTCGTGGTCTGGAACAACGCTGCTTAAAAGTAGACAAACACACACACACACACACAGAGCCCACCATCCTCACTCCAACCAGAGCTGCTCGTTGACTCTAAAGCTATACACAAGTTATTTCTCGTGTGTAAAGGAAATTTTATTTTAAAAACAAACTTGAAGATTCTATCACAAATTATCTAATAAAAGAAGCTAAACCTGAGAAATGCGTAATTCAGGGACTGTCACGCTGGGCTGTCATTAAGATGACTCAAAGGAGACAACTAAACAACACGGTCCCAGCTGGAAGTACAGTCAGTGCCACACAATGACATTTCAGTCAACGATGGGCCACATACGTGATGATGGTCCTGTAAGATTATAATATTGTATTTTTGTTTAGACACGTTTAGATGCACAAATATCACTGTGTTGCAACTGCCTACAGTATTCAGTACAGTAACACGCTGCACAGGTGTGTAGCCTGGAGCAGTAGGCCATGCCACACCGCATAGGTGTGCAGCAGGCTGCGCCACCTGGGTTTGTGTGGGCACGCCCTACGCCACCTGGGTTTGTGTGAGCATGCCCTGTGATGTTCTGTCAACGAAGACATTGCCTAACGACACATTTCTCAGAACATATCCCCGTAGTTAAGCAATGCGTTACTGTAGTATTTAAATGATAATTCTTATACCAACTTCAAGTAGGTAGAGGGTGGTCTACACAATTGTAACAGAGGCAATTTTTAATTCTTTCTTCAGAAATGTTCTCTGGAAATTAGGACATTCTAAGTGAAACACAGATTCAAAGAGGCACTCATAGAACTTGTCAACTTACCCCGCCTGACAGCTTAATCACCCTGACCTTGGAGCTGACATGGGGCCCGTCTCCACCACCGCTGTTTGCCCTGTGCGTGACAGTCCTTTTCCCGCCAGGCTTCATGTCCTGGGGCCGGCCCTGAATGGACGCCACCCGGGCAGTCTCCTCCATGTCTGCAGGTTTTATCTGGAGGACTTTATGCAGCGGCTGAGTTTGACTCTGAGGGACTGTTCTGGCCTGTCTCAGATGTTTCAGTGGTTTCATCTGCTGTCCTTGATACTGCATGTTGGCACCAGATGGTATAAAATTTGATGTTTTGGGCTGAACATTTGGAACAGTGACATCTTGGTTTTTAACGAGAAGTCTGTTTTTCACATTCTGTCTGACCTGTGCACCTGGAAAGGGCAGCAGTGGGTTCCCATTGGGGGGTGATGGTGAAGATGCCTGCTCCTCTTGCTCGACCGGGGGTGGTGGGGTATAGAGCTGCTGCTGCTGCTGCTGCTGCTGCTGCGCGAGTCTTTCTAGCAACTCCTTCTTCCTGGCACCAGCCTGCTGCTGCCGTCGTAACTCCTTCTGTTTTAGGATTTCTTCTCTTAGGCGTTTCTGTTCTTCTATCTTTAAGCGATATAACCTTGTTTCCTCATCTTCATC